AAGTTGGTAATTCAGTTAGGCTATGTTGTTTGAGGGAAATGTTATGTTGGTTATGCAGGTGATGTGTTTCAGTGGCTTGCAAACAATTCGACAAGATCATTGGACATTATAGCACAGTATTGGCAGCTTCTTGCTTATCCAAAGGATCCTCGCTCGGGCGATTTCGGTTATTCGGATTCGGATTTGGAGCAATTTGGAGCTCATATTGGTTCTCTTGTTTACAAATCCATTGACAATGCAGCTAACCGCAATGTTAGTATCAGGTATATTACTACAAGCACACACATTTTCTTAGTGTGAATATTGAGCCAATTGTTTCGAGTATATGATCAAAGGATATTGAGAAATTAAATGATGAGAAGGGTCTCTTATTCAGGACTTATTATTAGATTTAGTGCGGAAAAGTATATAATTTTTTGAATTTGAATGATAAATGTTTGTGCATAGACTATTGTCTCATTCAGGAGTATATCCGGATTATACCAAAGAACCATCTGATCTTGCTTCTGGAAGATCAAATGTGAAGAATGTTACACTGTTACTAAGCAAATGGTGGGGCTCAGGAATTCTTCATGCCAAGGTTTGGATTTCGGATGATCGCGACGTGTATATCGGTTCTGCCAACAATGATTGGAAATCTCTAACTCAGGTATGTCTCGATTTACATACACATTGGAATCGGTTAGAACATTGGCTGCAATGAATCAGCTGTTTGGATTTTGCTAGGTGAAAGAAGTTGGGATATACTTAAGTGGATGCTCACGAATTGCTCGAAAGATTAAAACTTATTTCGATAACTTATGGAGATTAGCCTCTCTTGACTCTTCAATTCACACAAGAAATGTATCAGATCAACAATGGCTGGTCAATAGAACTGTTCCTTGCTGGTCCCATTTCATAGCTAAGAAAGCAAGATGCAGGTAATGGAACTGAGAAGTGGCACTTAACCAAAAACACTACTCTTTCTTCTTTACTTTACATAAAATGGTTCTTAAAAGAAAGAGATTTGTTTGTGTGTTTCAGGTCACCTCTTCCAAGTTACATAGAGACACCTAATGTGTCCCCAGGTTACCCTTCACTATCCGATCCTGAGATGTTGAGCATCGAAATCGAAACTCTCCCTAAAGATCATATTTTTCCACAACCGCAACCGAGCTATCTATCTTTTGCACCACCAGAGGTGTAAACCAATCAACTTTAGAACATTTCAAACCTCTGTAAAATTGTGTATGATATGGTTTTTTGGCTTCTTGAATATGTAGTTGTTGTTCGGAAAGCATCAATCTGATGAACAAGGATGGATAGATACAATCAAATCTGTAGTGGAAGGAGGAACAGTGAGGATTAATACAATGGATTGGCTTGGTCAGTCTCAATTCACTAATCCTAAGGTTTACTGGTCATCCCTTTCTTCTGAAGTTTCCGAGGTACTTAACTATTATTCTTGATGATCTTACTTGTCTAAAATGCTTTAATTTGAAGATTTATATACATTGACATCGCAGGTCGTATTCGCCAAGAATGCTAAAGTGAAGATCCTAGTAGCATATTGGGGTCATTTCATTGAGGCCACTGATGGATACTTAAGGTCTTTGCTCTACTCCAATGTTCTTTGCTCCTCTTCCTCTGTGCAAAACACATGTTCTGGTCAAGTGGAGATTAGATACTACATGGTCCCTGGTTTTAACAAGACAGGACCAGCGGTTAGAAACGGGACTAGAACCGGAAACAAGTATCCGGATTACACGAGGGTGAATCACGGGAAATACGCGGTCAGCGACGTGAGAGCTCACATAGGAACCAGCAATCTCGTTTGGGATTACTTCTATGCGACAAGTGGTGTGAGTTTTGGAACTTACAACACTAAGATTGTGTTGAAGCTTCATGAGATTTTTGATGCAGATTGGAACTCTCCATATGTAGTTCCAGTTCAAGAGTTTAGACAAGATCATTAATTTATCCCTCCTGCAACGAATTTCTTAAATTTATATCACATTTCAAACTTAGAGAGTTAGAGGTATATGATATATCACATTTTTTAACTATATTTTCCTTCTTAATTAGTTTTTTTCTAATTAATCAACAAAGTCCAAAATCCTCAATATTTCCCTTCTTAATTAGTTTTTTTTTTTCCCTAAACTTTTGACTTGGTTAAACACGGTGATAAAAAGCATTCATGATTTTAACGCAGATTAATATGGGATATTTTTTTGTAGAAGAAATTAAAGAATATTGAAAAAGGAGATTTTTTTGTAGGAGTAGGGTCGAAGGAAGTGAAGAAAAGAGAGAGAAATAGATTGAAACATGATGAAATTGGGGTCCTACGTCAGATGGGTATGCAAGTTAGGTCATGCCAGTGATTGCATTCATCTTTGTTCCATTTGTTGTATGTCAATGTCCCGTTGTCTCGCACCACACACCCACCGGTTTAAGATATTGCACTATCATAGGTCCAATAATTGTGTGGACCTATTCAATCAACATAGGTTTGTTTCAACTTTCAACTAGAACCGAGTGATTTTTTTTTCCCATATATATGTTGTCTTGAATTTGGACCCACGTTATTTGCGTTACCATGAGGATTTCAGTTCACTGTCCGGTGCACGAATCAAAAGGCCCACGGCGTGATGCGCTCATGTTATGGGGTCCGATGATATAGGGTAGTTCTTATATGGACCGTAGTTTCAGTGTGGATTTTTTTATTTTTTTTATTTTAATGTAAATCTGCATACCAAATTAATTCAGAGGTGAATTAGACATTTGGT